CACGGGCTGAACTTTAACATAAAATTGAAGTGTGGAATTTTATAATAGGAGAGACAAATAAGGGGATTGAAAATATTTAAACTCAAAGTCCCGTGTTCTGATATTATGTAAAATTTTATGGTGCTACCGTCAACGGTTCAAAAAATTCAAACTAATTGATAAATACGTTATTTTAATATTTAAATATTACAGTTTCTCCTGGTTGAAGCTCTTCTCCATATTTTATTTAGGACTATGGATAAACGAAATAACCCTTGATAAATAAATTGCGTACGTTCATTAACTTCATTCATATTTTTATCACTTAGTTATTAACTACAATCAATTGCGAGGAATCAGGAATGTGGCTTGTGCCAAAAAAAAAAAAACACAAACAATGTACGTATAAAAGTTATTTTGAAATCATTGGGTGAACTTGAACTTAAATAGAACGAAATCAAAATATTCATTTCAAACTTTCACATTTAATATGAAGATACCAGATTTAAAATAGGGTTTCGAATTGAAAGAGTTCAAAATAATTAGACTTGGGGAAACGTAAGATGGCAGTTTTAGGACTTGTCTCGATGGTATCAAAGCATGATATTATAACAATTGAGATAAAAAGGCATTAATTTTTTATTAGGGTTTCTAAGCTTTAACAGCTGGGCAGGTTTGAGTTTGACCGAGCGGGTTGACCCGAAAATGGAAGGTATTTTCTTGGCACAGCATTTCCCGGACCGGCTCTTTATTGCTCGCTTTCATCCATGGGAGCGAAATGATGTGTTTTGTCCTTTAAGCAACCGTTCTTTCCTCCGCTCAAATTCAATCTAATCTAATCTAATCTAATTCTAATTCTAATTCTAATTCTAATCTAATTTATTAAAGAAATGTACTACTGAATACATATGGGCAGCATCTGTTTCAACATTCCCTTTTGTGCGGTAGAGTTTTTAGTTAAAATGGTAAACATTGGCGGGTTAAAGTGGTTGGATGTTGCGCATGCGCATCTCACTTTCACAATTTTTAGGAAAAGTGTCAGAAAAGTATTAAACCTATTGCATTGCTGCTAATTTAGTCATAAACCTTTTTTTGGTGCCAACTTGATCTTAAATTTTTTGATATAATGCCAATTAAGTCCTTTAAGTTAATTTTGGTCGGATATTACTGACGTGGACGTTGGCCGACTTATATGGCACCACCGACGCTAATGTGAAATTTTTTTAACTATATTTTTAATATATTTTTATTTTTTCTTGATTTTTTTTCGTTCTTCCTCCTTTTGTTGGTGATGGGCCATCAGCCACCGGGCATGGCCAAGAGTGTTGGCCTCACCTAGGTTAGGGTCAACATTGACCGGCTAGGCGAGGGCGAGCCACGGCGAGGGGAGCCCTTGTTGGGGCTCCCCTCGCCATATCTAGTAAGGCCGACCCTTGCCTAAAAAATAGCAGCCTCGTCGAGGCTCGACCTCGCCCTCGTCGGGGCTCGCCCTTGCCTGATCGGTCGATAGCGATCCTCTCCCAAGCGAGGCCAGCCTGCTTGGCCTTGGCCAGTGGCCGATCACCGGCAAAGGGAGAAAGAAAGGAAAAACAAGAAAAAAATATTATAAAAAATTATCCAAGTCAACGCTGACGGTACTACATAGGTCGGCCGACGTCCATGTCAGCAATATCCGACTATTATTATCCCGAAAGATTGAATTGGCACTAGGTCAATATGTTTAAGACTAAATTGACATAAATGCAATAGGTTTATGACTTTTCTTACACTTTTCCCCGCAATTTTTGGCAATCGCATGGGTATTTTCGTCCTACATCACGCGTTGCATAGAAAACTAGACTAAAAGTGGAGCCTAGAGATAGACTAGTACGTAAGAGGTCATCCGAGATAAACAGATGGGTACTTTTCGTAAAGAAGACCAATTTAGGGAGTTATTTGGACTTGCACTCTTTACGATAAAATATGTTGTGTGGTGCTCGCATCATGTGGAAATGACGAATAAGTAAGGAGAATTTCGAATCGAAATGTATAATTCTATTGATATGCATATAGTGTGGTCAATATGACTAGTTGATCATGCCTTACTAGCCATGTTTTTTCCTTTCATGCATCATAAACTCATCAAACAAACAACAGTTTGGTAAGCTAATAAAACTTCTTATCTGGCCAAAAAGAGAGAGATAGAGAGAAAGCCTCACTTAATGGATTGCTTGGTTTGGCTATTTATCTCGATTTTCTATTTATCACCCTATCATATTGTTAATGTATCTATAGGATATAATGACATTCAATATTGCATTTATAAGGGGGCCCGCTACCTTTCCCTTTTTTTCGTTCGATAATACCAAAGATTCCAATTGGCAAATTAAAGTACGGCTGCCCAAGTCTTGACTTTAAGATAGGGAGAGTACCTCTTTGTAGTAGTAGGTGAAATTATAGCCCTTGGTGGGCTCTCCCTCCCTCTCTCTCTCTCTCTCTCTCTCTCTCTCTCTCTCTCTCTCTCTCTCTCTCTCTCTCAAATTTTGTATTCTATTAATTATTCATGCTTGATGAATGTCGATATTGTAACCTTTTGTTGGCCAAATTTTGTTACATTAATATAGAGATAACGAGAAAATGTTTTTTTTCATTGATTCTATGTTTTAGATGAAAATTTCGTTTTCCATGAGATAGAGCTTCATATACAACCTATTTAATCTATACTAATTTTCAGATATTATTTCGACAATCAACATTTTATTGGAACCCGTTAGCATATCATTGACCAAATAATCGAAAAAAAAATTAAAATTTGCTCTGAAATCATATTGAACCGTACTTAATAGTTGAACAAATCGAAAGTTACCTTTAATTATGTCGGATTAATTTTTTGGCATCATACTATCATCGTGATCATTTAATGACGGAACAAATAAACCACCTTTACACAAAAACAAGGGGTGCCATATTAGGTATATAATAATTAGGTTTTATTTTTCTTTTTAAAATTCTGTTTATAACGGTTGTTTTAGTTATGGAAAGAATGGGGAAAATGTTTCAGAATCACACAAGCTTAACAGGCTAATAGTGCAGTGTTACATAAGTGATATTTTTGTTTGATATACTATTTGCAAAGCTCGTATTACATGACTAAAAGAATAAGTGTTAAAACATTATAAATGAAAATGGTTAATATAACTTTACTCATGTAAGATCATCACAACCGTTCATAGCACTGGTAATCTTCTAGTATGGCATACACATACTACATTGCTCTATAAACAAGTACACAAAGATTACTTACTTTTAAAGTTTGACTTTTTATGAGTTCTGTCCAAATCAAATTTTGACTTTTGTTTAACTCGAAACACTTAAAACCTTTCAAATTGTACTCAAATATTGACCTATAGAATCGTAAATAAAAAGTTTATAATTTTTCAAAACTTGAATAATATTTTTTTTGCAATTTTGGAGGGAAAATTATAACCAAAATTGTGAAATGACTTTTTTTTCGAAGTGAAATGATTGATAAGGTGCAACAACCAGGCCACCATGATTTTTTTTCCATTAAGGTTTTTCTCCCTTTTTCCTTTGTTGCAGGCGAATCAATCGAGAGATTGTTAACTGTAACCGATAGTTTGTTGAATTCGAGTTATGAAAGCATATCAACTCGTGTCATTGCAATCCATCATGTTGTTACAAAATGCTAAAAGTAAATGATGTATTTTAAGTTCATGTTAACTAGAGCCACTTACGTGTTTTCATAGTATACATTGTTATAAACATGTGAATTCGTATAATAAATTGATAACCTAATACATACAACCGAAATAGAAAATATGCAGGTAGATACATCGGCTTTTGATGTATAAATATATCAAAAGATGATTTTAAGTAATTACTCATGTATTCTACCGAGCTTCGCCATCGGGGGTGTATATACGAGTACTTCAACGTTATGCAAAGGTTTTTATACATGATTTTTAAAATATAAGCATGTGTTTTGAATAGCTTTTCAGTAGTTAAACATCAAAAGCAACTCCATAACTCCGCCTTACAAAAGAATCACGGATCACGACTCCAAATCACTTAGATTATATTGTTTGTTTTTCAGTTATTGGAAGTCTTCTTCGGTATCAAATAAAAGTAACTTCTTGAGAAAGTGAAAATAAAATAATAATGTCACGGGTTATAAATATAAGATATCCCAACACATACTTTTGCTTAATTTTTAAACATATCCGATTAATATTCTCTTTCATTGTTGATTCTGGCTTACTAGGTTGCTTGTTATAGTCTTTCCGCATTAATTTAAGCTATTGAAAAAGAGCACTGCATTTTTTAAATGTGCTCAATAAACACCTCAATAGCTGCAATACCTCCAAAGTTGCAATAGCGCATGGTAAATCCGGCTTTAAGATGCCCCGACTTTAAAATATGCATCGCGAAAAATATAATATATCGCGTTTCACAACATAATTACACTTCAACCAAAACCATATCAAACCAGCTTTAAGTAATTTGAGCTGCCTAATCACGGAAATAGAGGGCAAATTTATTTAATAACTTTTAGGGCCCGCTCGAACGTACTCCCGATTCGCGCTTTTCGTTTCATGCCCACTGTAAAATCTTTCGGCTTGTACATTTGGTTTTCTTTTTAAATTTATAACTCTTGGAGGAAAAAAAATCGCACATGGTTTTATCGAATTTCTTATTATTAAATTAATATTCTAAATATTGACGGAAAAGTCTTTTACTTTAAGCGTAAACTAATAGTGCCCTTAATCTTTGATAATAAAGAGGGTTGGTTTTGGTAAAAGTCGCGCTGGACTTTTCGCTCTTCTCAACGCTGATGAGCAGTGTCCAATACTCAACCCAAACGAAAAATAAAAAAAAATAAAAAAAAATAAAAAATAAGAAATAAGAAAGAGATATAAATAAATAAATAAATAAATAGGGATTTTCTGACAATAAATAAATAAATAAATAGGGATTTTCCGTGGTAAATGTCTTTTTCCTCCATTAACGAAGGAGGAAAGTCCCTCACGAAACCACGACGCCCAAAAACAAAAGCCATAAACACTTGCCGTTCTCGCGCCATTCCCACCCCAAAGGAAAAAAACACACGGAGGCTCAGTTCAAATCTCTCCCTCTCTCGCTCGCTCGCTCGACATGGAAGCCGGCAAGGCCGACGCCGCCGCCGCCGCCGCCGCGCGGCCCGGCTCGACCGGCAACGGCTCGTCCGCCGCGGAGGCCGAGCCCCCCCCGCCGCCGCCGCCTCCGCGGGCCGTGGTGGTGCCGGAGGTGATGACGATGGCCGTCAACATGAGCGTGGGGAGGACCCTGCTGCCGCTGCCGTCCGAAGCGGCGCCACCGGCGGGAGCCGTCGGCGTCGGCGGCGAGATCAGCTCGTTCGGGCAGGCGAAGAAGAGAGGGAGGCCGAGGAAGTACGACTCCGAGGGCAACCTGATACTGTCGCCGTCGTCCCCTTCCTTCGGCCTCTCCTCTTCCCCGCCGCGGAGGAGGTACCGCGTCCGGGGTCGCGGCCGTGGGAACGGCAACTGGCAATTTCCGGCATCTTTAGGTGAGCCCCCTTTATTATTATCATTTACATTTTCGTAACTGCACAGTTTTTTTTTTCCATCTTCAGCTCCAAATCTGGGATAATTAAATTGTTTGTGCCGATATTCGACTTCCCAATTTGGTTCTTCATCTCCAAGTCCCTGATGGGTTCATCCCAAAATTTCTACTTCTTCTTTCCCCCCTCGCCAACATCATTTCCGTCTTCGTTTTCTTTCTTGAACGTCGAAGCTTCGCCCGAAATGGGGGAAAGAAACGTCTTAAATGCTTTCAAGGGGCAGTCTCACCTAAAACCCAACTGCATTATCGAGCTCAGGGAAGCTTTGCTTGGTGCGAGAGGTGAAGAGAGGTTTTTGCAATGTTGGGTATGGTGGGTTTTGGTTTGGTTGTGAGGAAGGAGAAGACGGAGACATTGGAAAAAGGGACGGTCTTTGCATTATTCAAATGTGGTTTTGTCCCAAAAAAAAAAACAAAGAATATATTATTCAAAATGTGGTGGTATAAAAGACATGATGAGCTTCCTTTACTTTCAAGCAATGTTGTGGACTTTTTGATCCTCATTGGGGTTAACGTTTCTTTTTAACTTGTCTCTATGTTTGGACTTTATCTTTTAGTTAGGAGGAAAACATAGTTCTTTTTTTCAAAAGTGATTTTGTTTAATTCTGGCCACAACAATTTGAATTGATGTTGTGGTGAAGGAGAGCTATTTGCGAGCACGGCAGGAGGGGACTTCACGCCGCACGTGGTCACCGTCAATACCGGGGAGGTATGCCTTCTCCTTTTTGGGCCTTTACTCTTTCTTTCTTTTTTATCTTTTCATTTATTTATTTTTAGCATTAGAGATTCAAATTCAAACTCTTTAGGAGCTTAGACTTAGGATCGTTTTAAAGTCGAACCAATTTCGTCATGACTTCTTGCGAAGCAAAAAAATTATTGAATAGTTTGATGGGAAATTCGAGCATGAGCCGTAAGTAGACATGGTCATGAGCGTGTCCCACGAACCGGAGGTTTTCAAGACATAATTAGCCGAATAGGCGGCCAAAATGATATAGGGCATGGCTTGAAGTTTCTAGGGGTCTAGGGATTTCTTGCGTACTCTAGAATATTCTTAGGGCCACTAGGAAATTGGATACTTGTATTCAAAAGCATTCTTGTATTAAGGAGGGTAATTGGTAGATGGAGAGTTTGGATCTCCATAGTTAGTTCAAGGGGAGATGTATGATCATAATTTGAGGGGCTCATGTATATATGGCAGTCCCGCCCCCTGATTTTAAATCTAACATCGAACAAAATAAGAGATATAGTTCTTTCCCATAATACTTCTCTCTCTAGAGTTCCTCTCCGTGATTTGGGTAGGTCAAGTGAGCGAGTAAGTGATTGACTTGGGGAAGGCTGAGCTTAGGAGGCTAAAGTGAGGGGTGAATGAGTCATTTGAAGCTTGAGAGCCGCACGACCACAATCTCAAGTGTTAGCCCGTGACAAGTGGTATTAGAGCACGATTGAGAGAGTTGCGGTGCATCCCAAGTGGTTGAGAGAATGTTGGAATCGGATGTTCCCTCTATTGTTTCTACTGATACAAATCCCAAAAGAAAGAGTCTCGTGCCAAGAAACCCAATCGAGGGATATCATCTCCTGATTATTCGAGGAGAATCTTACCAAGGTATTATTGGTTGTGGGCGAATTGAAGGATGGGTTTGAGGATTTGAAGAAGCGACTCAATGAGGTCGAGGAGATGCTCCATGATGAGTTCTTGGCCTCCTTGAATTAAGTTGCCAGCCCATTGCATGAGCAGGAGTGATGCTCTCGAGTCCAATGTGTACATTTGAAAGGAGATAGCGACGGTGAAAGAGGAACTCAAGACTTGCAAGATGGCCATGGCAAGCGGGTGATCACCATGATGCTGAGTACAAGAGTGGACGTTTCGAGGTCGAAGGAGTTTAGGGTGACCGGTCTGCCAAGGAGGTGGACAACTACATATTGGGCATGGAACAACACTTTGATGCCATGGGGATCAAGGATGACGAGACCAATGAACAGATTGCTTCATGCACTTAACTGAGTTGCTATGCTTTGGTGATGACTTAGGTGTGACAATGAGAGTCGGGGAGCCAAGTAGGTCAAATAATGGGCCTCACAATCTTTTGGGGGCAGTTCTTCCCGAAGCTTGCTATCGCTGTTTCACTCAAAAGAGAGACGTTCGTGAGTGTGTGCAGGAGTTTACTGAGCTCTTGTTGGAGATTTTGGGCATGACCAAGCCCGAGGTGCTAATTACTTTAATGGATGTGACCCGCGGAGGGGAAACTGAGAGTTGAGAAGCCGTTGGCCAAGTCGAGAGTAAGGCCACAACCTTTGGAGGGGCTAAGGGTGGAGTTGGAGCGGTCTAAGCCCACTCATGAGGTGAGGGGAAGCCAATTCATGGGTTTTTTGGGAAGTGGGGACTTGTCGAGCAACATGGACTTGGTTGAGCCGAGGGAAGCATCACTTGCGGAGCCAGTTGGGGTTCAAGAGCCGTGCAACCTTGAAGTCAAGAAGCGAAAGACTAAATGGTGGGGGAGACAAAGAAACCACCAACCTTCGAGGGTACTTATGATCCAAAAGAAGGATTTGATCTAGCAAGCAAAAGATTTTGAGTTGAAAGTGCTGAGGGCGTCGCTCAATCGGGTGTGGGAGAAAATTCATGGATTAGAGGTTTTCAAGGTACAAAGGGCAGACGAGGTGGCTGATAAGACTCGATATGCCTTGAAATTTTTAGGGTTCTAAGGTTTTATTGGATAGTCTGGAATGTTTTTGGGGGTATTATGAGAATTATATACTTATATTCTAAAGCATTCTTGTATTAGAAGGGGTTGGTAATGGATGGGAAAGATTGGATCTCCCTTGTTAGATCATGAGGAGATCTATGATCGTAAATTGAGGACCTATGCCAGGTGAACGAGTGAGTGATTGACTAGGGAAAGTCTAAGCTTAGGTGAATTTGGTAAGGGGTGAACGAGTCATTTGAAGCGTAAGTGTCGCATGGTCTCGATCTCAAGTGTCCGTATGTGACACGTGGCAATCCTCGTCCAGTCCCACATGGGCAAAATATGCCCGAGGGCCAATTCGAACGTGTTGAGAAACAGATTATTTAATATGAAGCTCGGCTCACCCACCTAGCCCATTAGTACATGCTACATTTTTGTTGATCATGTCTAGGTAATGAGTTAATTACACCAGCTTGAGGGCTCGACTTAGTCTAGATCTAGACCCTTCCAATGATCATCTCAAAGTATATATAACCCAATATTTAAGTTTAACCAAGCAAGTATTTATCAGTTTTTTTCTTTTTTGACGGGATCATGGGCAATGTTTTTTTTATTTATAAAATGGGTCAGAATAATATTCTTTCGAAATCTATGCAGACACCCAATTAATACTAGTACTATTCATTTTTCAAAATACTATCGCCGCTTATCTATTATTATATAATTAAGTACGTTAATAATGAATGAAATTCAATATGAATTTGCAGGACGTAGCAGGGAAAATAATGACATTTGCGCAAGGAGGGGCACGAGGAATATGCGTGCTCTCTGCCAATGGAGCCGTTTCCAACGTCACCATTCGACAACCCGGTTCTTCTGGTGGCCTTTTGACATACGAGGTATGTCTTCGTTTGTTCCATACTCCTGCTCATAGTATTGTCTGTGCAAACTTTTTGTTTTTTCTTCTTTAACACTGTCCTTTTCTAGGAATTTTTCAGAAAGTAGCGATTTACTGACGAACATGTGCCTCCACGCACGCGAACGAAATTGGAAACTATTTGTTATTGATCTATATGAATGCATGCTGTCATGTCCAAGAAGTTTGGGGTTACTTGCGGAAAGTGTTTTTGCCTCTTCATCAGGATTTGACTTTTGTTTCTAATATTTATTAGTGTGGATATTATATGCTTGCAGGGGAGATTTGAGATACTGTCATTATCGGGGTCGTTCACGTTCACCGACTGTGGAGGAGTTAAGAGCCGGACCGGTGGTTTGAGCGTCTCGTTGGCTGGTCCAGATGGTCGGGTCATAGGTGGTGGAATGGCTGGTTTGTTGGTGGCCGCAAGTCCCATTCAGGTAAGAGCTTACCCTTTTCGTTCTCTCCCTTGCTGTCTTTCTTTCTTTCAATTCTTTTCTTTTTTGTGGGTATGACAGGAATATAACCGAGTCTCTTTAACAAATTCGTTGACTGCTATGGATATATGCATGGTATTCTCGTTTTGCATACGGGGCATCTGTGTTGCTGAAACAAGTTGCTTTCTCGTGAGTGACTTGAGTTTAACTTCATGAACATTGAGTTCGAGTTGGCTTTAACACGTTCCGAGCGTCAATTCAAGTCGAATTCAAGGGTCCCCACTAGTTGATTCTAACTTAGCAAGCCAATACTGGTGCTGTCATCTGATGAACTGACTTAAGAGGGATTAATCACATGGATCTCTCTCATTTGAGTAGTATATAGCACGTTAGGCAGTTAATTTTGTGCTTTAAAGACGAGAGGCAAAACCTGCCGCATCTGCAATGTGATGATACTTGTCAGGGATTAATCTTCCATAATAAGATCGGCAGTTCAAATTGTTTTTTTTTGGGCCCTTTTTTTCAGGTTGTGATTGGAAGCTTCACGCCAAATGGTTACAAGCCTCATAAAAGAAAGTACACTCGCAGACAAGGAATTGCACCAGCTCCCACAGCCATGGGCAGACCGGATGCCGTCCAAGGGGCCGCCCCGATTTCGCAACTGAAACCCGATCATGCGGAGATTTCCTTTGCCCAAGCAGAACCAGATTGTAAAACAGACGAATTCGAACCGATCGAGATTCCAAACACCGATACGCCGGACACGGAGGAGGAGTGGGACGATCCCGAGCCCGCGCTCACGCCTGATCAGGGGCCTTATCCTGACATCAATGTGTCCGTTCCCGGTGACTGATGAGTCTCTCTAACTCTCAGAGTTCTTAGGCTTTTTTATTCGGATCTGATCGGATCAGATCGGATCAAATCTATTTGAGGTCTTTACAGGCTGCTGACAAAATGACTGGACAAATTAGAGAGAACTAACTTTGTTTATGGCTTCCTTTTCCGTGTTTATGAACGACCTTGTAGGAAATGCTTTTCTTTGTCGATCAGTCAACGTTGTGGAATTTGCTCTCTTTACATTGTTCTTTTTTTGGTCTGACTTGGGTTGATAAATAAATCTATCTATCCAATAAAAGGGTCAACCCCAGTCAGTCATGACCGAGAAATCTTGGATCAGCAAATTTCATTTCTCAAACAGTAAATTTTTAAAGGCAATCACATGTTTTGTAGCTAAATATGAAAATTGGAGGAAAAAAAAATTTGATTCTATAGATGGCTATATATGCTTCTAAGTCTCATGATTATTTTTAGAAAAATCAAATGAATTACATGATAATTTACTTAGAGTCTTCTTTTTTTATCCTCTTAAAGTAATGCACCGAAGCAAGCACAATGAGAATAAATGAAGTAGGAGATAATATTTTCAATTTGACATTAATCTTAAATTAGCGATGGTGATTTGCCTTATATATCTTCAACTAGTCTTTCAATCACTAATTTGCCTGCCTAAAGAATTTTCTCTACATTCTTCATAATCAGAGAAACCATTTCAGAAACTGAAAAGTATAATCTTGGAATATTTGTTCTTAGCTCTTATCTTCTTCTCTCCAAACTCTCTCACACTTATTTTACATTTATTGGGAACGGTGCAATTTTCTATCAGTTCAACCTTTCAGAAAGACGGGACAGGAATTTTTTTCTCATACCATTTACATCTAATATGTGCTCAAATGATCGAACTTTGTTTACCAATGCCACGACCCTCACGAGGTGGACCCTAGGAAGCTAACGCATTACTAGACGGGCACGCATATTCTCTCGCGAGGTTGCGCTTACGCATCGGACAGGCTTTCAAAATAACTAGGAAGATCTTCTCATCCTTATCAGTTGACAATTACCCTAAAATCAGGGTTAACCTGTTCTAGACTGGTAGGAGCCTCGTAAGATGCAAGATGCGAGAGGTTGCCTTCTTCAAATGAAAGAATTGATTTTGGAGACATTGATTAAGTTAAAGGAAAGCTTTTCACGCGATCTTATTTGATTTTATTTTCTAACATGCAATTCCAGATGTCCATGCATTAAAGGTAATAAATGAAAACTCATGCAATTATCAAAGAATGACTCAGCTACGATGGCAGTAAATAAACGTACTCATGAAGTTTCCTAAAAACAAATATGCTAAATACGACAGTAATAAACATGCAAATTCTTCCAGAATAATAAAACCAATAAATAAGGCAACAAATAAATCATAAATGGCAATAAAAAAAGCAAATGAAGCAGCCTAAGCCATTTCGGACTATAATTAAACAACGCCTTTTTATTAAGCCCGGGATAGGACCGTGTGAGCAATAAAGGAAAATGTCCTAGAGGAAACTAAGGGCAAGTTTCGTAACGTTTCTATTTCTCTGTGTTGGAAGCGAGTGTGGGGAGAATCGACTAACCTATTCGATGCACTCCAAATCAATTTTCCAGGATCGTACGTTGAATCACCAGCGAACGATGAACGAATCTACTTCACGTTGGTCCGAATACAATAACGAGGAAAGTATTCTTGTTCCACAGCGTTAATGCCGATTGTCTTCTCGAAGTAGATACGAAATCCTTTTGCGTCGTTATTTGATGAAGAGAGGAGAGAGAGAGTTATGTTCTTCAGAATTTACTTTTCTCTTATTCGATTTTCATAAGAAACTCCCATTGCACCTCTTCAAAAGATGTCTCTCAGACACATTTCTTATTAGAGCAAATGGTGTCCCTTGGACACACACATTATGGGCGTACCGACGAAATATAACATCTCCCACTCGCACATGATGGGCTTGATGATGCTCTATCAAGAACATAAGGCATTCAACATTCATCTACCTTACAAACAATTCATACTGGCAAGAAAGCCGTGCGACCAGTGAGTACACCTGCACTTGGGAGCTCTAATTATGCACTTGTTAGGGACAACATAATGGCTACAACCCCAAAAAGAAATAAACAATTGATATCTCACAGTGCCCCAGACATATTTTGTTACATCAGTCCAAGTATACCTATCCCTTAAAGGGTATACTTGACTTTTCTCAAGAACACCATGTATTTACAATTATTTCCGAAGCCATTGAAGGTGAAATAATTGGTCGACCGGTAAACACATGTGATAGATGTAAAACAACAATAGTCTTCCTTTGCACTCATGTCTCTCTTCATTTCAGAACAACTACTTTCCTAGACACGTCCCATAAAGCCATATTTATTCATGACTGCCGGTAACATGCTAAAGCAGCAACATTGATCTTCTACTTTGAGAACAAAGTCAGAAGTAACATAGGGTATAGGGCACAAAGTAAGGTAAATTATAAATTACCTTAAGGACTCACACGATGAATAAATAGGGATAATTGTACTCATCTCCCTTATTTGTCGAATAAAGCACATGTAGTATGAATTACATGCTATAGTAGATTTCTCTTTCTATAAGAGCGTATGTCATTTATTAATCATATCCACTATACGAATCTTAGCCTAAACATGGTCACGTGCTTCTCACATACTCATGTTTAGCTCGAGTGCTATATCAGCTCGCTTTCCACAGCGCCCAATTTAGTACTCGCATCCGGCTACCTTCAGGCATACATGATTATGGGACTATCATGTTTGGTCTTATCAAATACGAATAACAGACTTCATCTTGATTCCAATCAAGGCGACATTAAATCGTTTTATGTACTAAACTGCTCTTCCAGCATTTATGGTACATATCGTCTCATCTCAACTTGCTTACTATAGCATTTGAGGTGATTGTTTGTGTGAGTGAGCCAATCATTGCCTTGTGACATACCTTTCAACAATATATGTGTGTTTGTGCTAGTCTCATAACATTGTACTAATTGATAAAATATCAATTCATTAACAAACAAGTATAATACATATACACACATAATTCGGTGATCCTCAACAATATTACATATCACATTCTACGTAACCCTAGAGACATTCTATGGGTCAAGAACACGTCTCTAGGAACAGCCTTCGTGAATGGATCAGCAACCATCATATAGGTTGAAATATATTGCAGGACTACTTCCTTCTGCGCTATTATATCTCTGATTAAGTTATTCTTTATGTCAATGTGCTTCGTCCTACCATGGTACTTGGGATCTTTCACATAGACAATGGTTGCTTGACTATCGCAGTATACTGTCACTGGTCTTGAGACATCAGTGACAATGGCTAAATTTTTCAAGAAACGTTTTAGCCATACTGCTTCTTGCACTGCAGCAGAACAGGCAATAAATTCTGCCTCCATCGTAGATAAAGCTGTGCATGTCTGTTTCTTGCTATTCCAAGAAATTGCACCATCATTAAGCAAGAATGCATATCCAGACGTTGATTTACGCTCATCTAGGTCTCCTCCCCAGTAAGCATCAGAGTATCCTAATAAGTGTAGATCACTCCCTTGATAGCAAAGTCGATAGCCCATAGTGCCTTTCAAGTATTTCAGGATCCTTTTAACTGCTTTCCAGTGTGCTGGACCAAGATTTGATTGATATTGGCTCACTAACCCCACAGCATGACATATGTCGGGTCGAGTACACATCATAGCATACATCAAACTTCCGACAGCACTAGTGTAAGGAACAGTTACCATTTCTTTCTTTTCTTCTCGAGTCTTAGGACACATCTTAGTACTTAGGCCTTCGCCTTGAATGACAGGGGTATCAATGGGATTACAGTGCTACATATTGAAGCGTTCAAGAATCTTCATTATATAAGACTCTTGTGACATAGCAAGGAGTTTCTTTGATCGATCTCTTTCAATCTTAACTTCCAATATATATGCAGCTTCTCCCATGTCCTTCATTTCAAAATTAGAGGACAACCATTCTTTTATGGTTATAACCAAACCCTTGTCATTCTCAGCCAACAAAATATCGTCCACATAAAGAGATAAAATCATAAATTTATCCTCGGACCGTTTGATATACACACAATGATCCTCTTCGATCATCGTGAACCCAAAAGAAGTTATGGCTCGATGAAAACGAAAATACCATTGTCTAGATGATTGCTTAAGGCCATAAATTGAGCGATGAAGTTTGCAAACTTTACGCTCTTGACCTTCAGCAATGAAACCTATCGGTTGCTTCATATAGATTTCTCCATCTAGTTCTCCATTGAGAAATGATGTCTTTACATCCATTTGATGTAATTCTAGATCCAAATGTGCAACAATGGCTAGGATAAGGCATATAGAGGCAAACCTTACAACTGGTGAAAAAGTTTTCTCATAGTCTATATCCTCTTGTTGAGTATAGCCTTTCGCCACAAGGCAAGCCTTATACTTTTCAATGGATCCATCCGCCCTTCGCTTAATCTTGAAAATCCATTTGTTTCCAATAGCCTTGCAGTCGGGTGGCAGGTCAACCAAGTCCCAGACGTGGTTTGTCCTCATAGACTCAATTTCGTCTTCCAAAGCTTTTCTCCATTCTTCCTTGTCAGGAGATGAAAGAGCCTCTTGAACTGTTTTAGGCTCTGCATCGTCTTGTGGAGCAATCATAAATGCTTCCCCTTCAATCTCAAATCAACGATGGGGAATACTTTTACGATTACTTTTACGCAACTGAACTTCTTGAGAATTCAGTTCGTCAGGCGACGCTACAGTCCCACTAGGTCTTGTATGTTGAGGTAAATCTGTATTTCCCTCAATAACATTAGTGGGCGTGTTATCGGGATCTTCCATCTCATATAATTGGAAGTCCTTATCGATCTCACCTCTACTAGGAAAATCGTTTTCCAAGAACGTGACATCTCGTGACTCCATTTCAATCACACTTCCATCAGCTTGTTCACCTATGAACATGTACCTTTTGGAGTGTTCAGAGTATCTAATAAAGATACACTTCTTCCCTCTAGAGCCTAATTTGCCATATTTATGGGAAGAATCATGAACATATGCTACACACCCCCAAGGTCGTAGATTACTTAAGTCTGGTTTCCTACCAGTCCACAATTCATAAGGGGTGGAAGCAACTGACTTAGAGGGCATACGATTAAGTATATAGGCAGCAATCAATAACGCATC